CCTCTGTTACCTCTCTTTAATGAGGTCAGACTCACAGCGCATTACATCCTCTCTGCGTCCTGCGGTGCAGCGCTCTCCCTGGACAGAGGGATGGCTTCAACCCTGGTGGCGCAGAGGCATCTGTGGTTGACGCTCTCTGATGTCCCGACAGAGACCGAGCTGCATACCTGGAYGAACCAGTTATGGCTGCTGGGTTATTTGGTCGGTCTCTCGACGTCATTCAGACAAAGTTTGATCTGAGGGGAAAGCAGGCTGAAGCCCTGCGCTGTATTGTCCCCAGACGTGACACGAGACAGAGGACTAGCACACAGAAGCCGGCTGCTCAGCCGCCTCCTGTCAAGAGAGCAGTGCTGCCTGGGAGCCTGAGCACCCAGTCAGTGCAGCCTCAGAACTGCGACCAACCTCCCCACCATTCGGTTTGGAGCAAGGGTCCCCCTCTGGGTCTTCTGAAGGGCTCAGTGCCTCAGAGGAAGAAGACAGTCCTCCTAGCTGTGGGACTGTCACTTCAGGGCCAGGGAGACATGATCGCCTGCTATCGGCTGCTGCCCAAAAGGCATCTTGTTTGTTTTGTTCAGGGAACCAGCCCCAAGAGGCGCTGCGTTTCCCTCACGCAGTCTCCCAAGCACCAGTCCCACCCCACTCACACAGTGTACGCACTAAAAGCCCCCAGTTTGGGTGCACTAAATGTTCAAAGCACAACTGTTAACGTTTGTGTAAATGTGTCAAAAGTGTCAAAGTATAAACTTTACACACAAATAAATCAAAAAGCTATGGGCGACAGTCAGGTAATGCTGCGCCTCTCTCATTCGACAGAGGGCAGCAGCACATCGCCAACACAAGTTGGTCGCCTAGCGATGCCACTCTCTCTCACTCTGGCGCACATGCGCACCATCCACTTGGGTGGAAAGAACTGTTGCCATGGGCTACCGGCTACAGTTTCGCATAAGGCCGCCTCCTTTCAACACCGTGGTAAACACTGTTGTTGGGATCAAAGCAGCCGTGGTTTTGAGAGAGGAAATAAACATGTTACTGGCAAAAKATACCATATGTGTGGTCCCTGCCTCGGACGTGAACAAAGGTTGGTACAGCCGTTAATTTGTCGTCCGAAAACGACGGGGGGCCTTCGTCCGATTCTGGACCTGAGAGTGTTAAAGACATTTCTACGAACATACAAGTTCAAAATGCTAACACTCAGGCAACTTCTACATTCTGTCAGCCCGGGCGATTGGTTTGCAACCATCGATTTAACAGA